TAATAAGAATGCATGTATTCCACATTTTACTTATCATAGAGGCATCATTATACATTCATTACATGATGATAATGCTTTACACAATTTCAACTTTTCATCCTTGATTTCATCACTATAATAAAGATGTCTTTTTTCAAAATATTTCTCCATCAATATGTAACTTCCATATTGAGAGATATTAGATGAGATTAATGTGAATCTCAAAATTAGGGATATAAATTCCTTATATGAGAAAAGTTATCATAAAATTCATATCCATTCATAGATGTACTCTTACATCTTATCTTTTCATTAGAAATAAATTCTTATAAATGAGATTTGATCTCAAAGAATTTTTCTTTTAATTCACAATCCCCACATTGTGATATATATCTAATTTCTCAAATGCTTATGATACTTTTCCCCAATTTTCTCAAAATGAATATAATATATCCAAGTTTAAAATAAAATTGAGTATCACAAATACATATCCATAATATTATTTTCCAATGTTTTTGCACTGTTCCCCTTCTCATTGGGTAGAACTTGGAACAAATCCAACAAATAGTTGGAGATATATGATAAGCACATAAATTACTTGAATATACTAAACATATGTGACCAATATTCATTCATATCACATCTATAATAAGAACTCTCAAATCCATTGTCGACTTATTTTGCAAATCTTTGTATTTCACAACCATATGCATAACCATGATTATAATATGATGTCACATTCTCTTCTAAGAATGAAATCAAATGAATGGTTGTAATCGATGATTTTTCATCCATTTATAATTTTGTTGACAACAAAAAGACATGTTTTTACTTTGAATATATATGTTAAAATTACCCTCTCAAGAATGCTACTTTTGGAGTATATTTGAGGCATGAAAAGAAGAATATATCTTCTTTTATATGTTTTGATCAATAACAATTTTTCTTCCACATAAAATAATTCAAAATATTTGCAAATTCTTAATCGAGTAATAAATGGATTCATTCATAATTAGCTTTTTGGAAGAATTGCAATTTTCTTTTGATGATCATCTTTCTTCCAAACAGTTTTATGATTTCAATGAATCATTCATCATCAAATATTCAACTCTTAGTCATTTTTGGACTTCATAATGAAAAAATATCATTTCATCGCAATCCTTTAAGGATACCATTTTTATAAGAATATTTTCTTTCTTTAAGATATACTTTATTCCCTTCCACAATTGAATGTTCAAGATTCATTGAAAAAAAATGAATTTTCACATCAAAAGAGCAAGATAAAGTTGGAGCCCAATTTATCAAGGGCAATGAACTCAAATCTTTTGACAAGTACAAATTGTTATAGCACCATAGAATATTCAAATTAAAAAACAAGAAATTGAAAAACTAAATTGTCTTAAAATCTTATCTTAAAATCTTATCTCAAAACTTTACTGTAACTTATATCTTTACATTAATTGGTTTATCACCTCAAATATAATTCATGAATAGTAATTCATATAAAAACAAATCGTGCTGATAACGTATTATAAAATAAAATAAGATAATCATTTAAAAAAAATTAGAGAGATAAAGTGAGACAATGCAAAAATATGTTATATTTCCATTCTTCTCTTCTCCATTTGTTTTCTATACACTTATAAAAGTAACAGCCCAATATATAAGGGCCAATAAAAAATAAAAGTTATAAGAAATAAACACCCATTAAGTGAAAAGTTACAAATATTAATCTTTTATTAATAAAGAAATTACAAAGAATTCTACCATTAATACCATTTTAATGCATAGCATTATGGAGGGTGTTTATCAACATTGTAATTACGTAGAGGTAATAAAAATTATATTATTATTTGATGTATAAAAGTCATAGAAAGGGGAGGTAAAACGATGAAAAAAAATGAAAAATCAACAATAAATTGAGTCATAACGACTTTTTTTTTTTTTT